ATGGTTGAGTGAGCGTTTTATTATCGGTTTTGGGTGTAATTGTGAACCGATGTGAGATTGAGGTTATCTATATGGTTTAGTGAGCGTTTTATTATCGGTTTTGGGTAGAACCCCATGTAATTGTGAACCGATGTGAGATTGAGGTTATGTATATGGTTGAATGAGCGTGTGATTATCGGTTTTGGGTTGAACCCCATGTAATTGTGAACCGATTTGAGATTGAGGTTATGTATATGGTTGAATGAGCGTTTGATTATCGGTTTTGGGTTGAACCCCATGTAATTGTGAACCGATGTGAGATTGAGGTTATGTATATGGTTGAATGAGCGTGTGATTATCGGTTTTGGGTTGAACCCCATGTAATTGTGAACCGATGTAGATTGAGGTAATTGATATATGGGTTGATTTGCGTTTGATTATGGTTTTGGGTTAACCCATCTAATTATAACCGATGATTTTTTTGGGTTGGTCATAATGAAGAAATTCCTAGATCCTAAACCCTCACCGTCGTAAGTCGTAACAGTGATGCCGTTTCTTCCTTCTCGTCCTCCGTCGGCGCCAGAGGACTGATCCTCGGTTCTTCCCTGTCGGCTTCTTCCTTCCAGCTTCCCTCTCTCCCAGCCTCAGTTCTTCCTTCGTCTTCCCTTCTCTACCCATCCTTCGCGACGAAACCAGATTCTTCCTTCGTCGGTTCCTCCCTGTCGGCTTATTCGCCCATCCTTCGCCACCCATCCTTCGCGACGGAAGAGGCTTAATCTAGCAATCTTCCTTCGTCGTTTGTTGCTGACCTTCCACCGCCACCGCCAATCATCTCCGTTCAGCTCCCTGACTCCGCTCCCTGCCTTATTGTTTCAGGTACCCGCCGGCTCCCTCTTGTTTATTCTCGGATGATTAATTCTTCTGTTCTGTTTCGGTTCTGCTCCGTTTGTGATTGTGGCGCTGTCGTTGTCCAATGGCGATCTGGAGGCCGTGGATCTTGGCGCGCCTCTGTTTGTTTATCACCGTTTCTCGAACTTGCGGATAGCGGTTTCCAGGCTCATTTAGTTTTTCGTTCATCCGGTTGAGGGAATTAGCTATGGTTTTGTGTTCCTCGTTTGATTTCTGTCGAGTAATCCGTCCGTCTACGATCTTGTTCATTCTGGGTTTCCAGGTGAAATGAGATTGCCCCAATTACATGGTTATTTCGTTCATTCTGTTTGGGGGGACTTGATATTGTGTTTGTCTATTCGATCATGGTGGCTTGATTGTTGTCTTGTGAGGGTGATTGGGGGGTTTCAGAGAGAAAACTACTGTTTCCTGTAAGGAATTTGTTCATAGTTTTGTTCTTTCTGGTCGTTTGTCGCGGAAGTGAAGGGGAAACTATCGAGTTGATATGTGGATTACAGTTACCAGCCAGCTTGTAACTGAGTTACATGACCAGTTGATCAACTATGGAACTGAGTTAGAAATAGACAAATTCTTGCAAAGTAAGATGAAGTTGTTTGAGTCTCACGGGCCTATGATGATCACGGTCTTTCGGCTGTGGGTGGTGAATATGTCGATTTCAATTGTCTCTAAACTTCATTTTGTTGCTTGTTTTCAGTTGATCAACTATGGAAGGGTTGATGGATGATATGAGCACAGGCAAGGACACGGGAAATGACTTGAATGTTGGTTTAGATTGGGGAATGAATTATGGAGATGATACCGGTGGTGTTAGAGATAGTGACGATATGAAGGACAATGTCGACACCAGCGATAGTGATTCTGAGGATGATAATAACACTAACATTGGTGATGATGATAAAGAGAACATCTCAGATGAGCATTTGCACAGCTTCGAAACACAGCCACACAGCTCAGAGAACATCAAAGATGCTGCAAATCCAGCCATGGTTCCACCGTACTCGAGTATGTATGACTGGACTTTGCTTGATAAAGTCGGGAATGGTAAGCCTTATTCTAAATGGGAGTCGGATGATGTTGTGGGTTATGAGTTTGAAACCCTTGAGGAGGCTGGCAAGTTCTATTCAACTTATGGTTGTGCCATGGGGTTCAGCGTACGAAAGAACACTCACACATATTCAAAATATGGAGTTAAAAATATGCAGCGATGGGTTTGCTCACGCGAGGGGGAGCGTCTTCCAGTCCACAATGACAAGGAGAACAGAAAGCGTGAACCTAGGCCTGTAACAAGGCTCCATTGTCCGGCTGCTTTCAAAGTCAGTTTTGTTGAGGCAACTAACCGATTCAAGGTGAAGCAGTTTGTACCAACACATTTTCATCCCTTAGCTGGAGCACATGAAGTGCAGTTTTTGAGTTCTCATCGCAAGGTAGATGACGCAAGTAAGGCTCAGATTCGATCACTTAGGGCTGCTGGTATTCGCACCAATCAAATCATGGATTATCTAGTGAATTGTGCAGGAAGCTTTCAGAACTTGGGTTTCACTAAGACCGATGTCTACAATTTTGTTAGTGCGGATCGGAGGTCGGAGATCTTGGATAGTGACAGTGAAGCTGCACTTGCCTACTTACAAGCACGGGCAACTACCGATCCTCGTTTTTATTGTAGATATACAGTAAGTGACGGTGGTGAACTAGGCAATATGTTATGGGCTGACTCTCCTTCACAATTGGATTATAGTCTCTTTGGAGATGTTCTTGTTTTTGACTCGACGTACAAGACTAATGCATATAATCTTCCATTTCTTCTATTCATTGGTGTGAATAATCACAATGCAAGCACTGTTTTTGCATGTGCTTTACTTGCGGATGAAACGGCGGAGAACTACGTATGGATTCTAAATGCTTTTTTACATTGCATGGGTGGTAAGAAGCCAACCGCAGTTATAACAGACGGTTGTTCTTCAATGAGGAAAGCTATCAAGTCGGTTCTCCCTGGATCCCGACATCGGTTATGTTCTTGGCACTTGGGCAATAACGCAGAAGCGCGTGGCCATGCGGAAGGCTTCCGGGAGGATTTCAAACGATGCATGCTAAACTGCAGTTCTATTCCACAATTTGAAGCTACGTGGAAGGAAATTTTGTCCAAGTATGACCTGGAGCACAATGCGTGGATGAAGAAGATGTATAGGCGACGAGCTCTATGGGCCACAACTTACTTGAAAGGTATTTTCTTTGCTGGGATGACTACCTCACAACGTTGTGAAAGCATGAACTCTTATCTAGACAAATTCTTGCAAAGTAAGATGAAGTTGTTTGAGTTTGTCAAGCAGTTTGACATGGCACTTTTGTATAGGAGACAAACTGAGTTACATGACCAGTTTAAGACAATACATACTGATGTTGTTTTGATGACACATTTACATGAAATTGAAAGACATGCCTCTATAGTATATACAAGAAATGTGTTCAGGAGCGTTCGAGCAGAAATAGCGAGAGAAGTTCATTACTATATTACAGACAAGTGTGTGTTGACCAATAAAACAGTTTACACATTGTCACGATTCAAATACCCTGACTCAAAGTGCACCGTGGTATTTTACACGAGTGGACATGATGTGCATTGTTCTTGTGGCATCTTTGAGTTCTGCGGAATTCCATGTCGGCATATATTCTGTATATTGAAAGCAGAAAATCAAATGCAAATTCCAAAATCACTCATTTTGATGCGTTGGACTAAAGATGCAAAAGAGTTCGATCCCTCGAGTATGGGAAGCTGTCCTACCCAGCAAAATATTAGCAGGTATTATAAATTTAAGGTGTTCATTTAGTTCTTTGTTTACTTCTATTGTGCTTGGAACCAACTACAAAAGTGCTTGTTTATTTGGACAGGTTTGGATTCTTGGTTGGTCAATGTAGTAGAATGTGCCATTATGCTGTGAGTTCGGATGAAGCATTTCATACTGCCAAAGGGTTGATTGAAGACTTGACATTGCGAGTGAAGACAATAAGTGAAGAATCAACCAACAAAACAAATAATGCTACTACGGATGTTGGAGTGAACTCCTCTCAGTTTATTAAGGACCCCCATCCAGTTCGAAGTAAAGGGAATGTGAAGCAACCTCAAGTGAAAACACGGTTGTGCAAGTATTGTAGGCGTCCTAAACATACAATCAGAAATTGTCCGCTGAAAAGAATGGCTGAAGCAGGTGGAGGTGATAGTCATTTCACGCAACAAGAATACAACTTCGAGTCCATAGGAGCAGGTGAAAGCAGCTTTCATGTGGAGACTCAAGAATCTGTTCTACTTCCCAAACGATCCAAGCACAACCTGTAATGCTGGTGTTCGACTTCAAACTACATTATGTTTCATCTTGTAATGTTTGTTTTGTGCAAGTTAGTATCTAGTGACATTGAATGACTCAGCTTTTCATAAGCTTGTAGTTTTCAAAAACAGTATATTATGTTACTTACGCCATTATAATAAGTACAAGGGTTAGTCTACAGGTAAATGTCTGTGCAGACTATTTCTGGAAATCTCACGGCCAATTCTGGAAATCCCACGGCCGTGAAAGAAGGCGTGTTTTTGGATTTGTAATTCTGGAAATATCACGGCCGTGAGATAGGCCGTGAGAGTGACCGTGGATTTGTAATTCTGGACATCTCACGGCCCTCTGTAAATTCTCACGGGGCGTGAGACTAAGGCGTGAGATAATCCCAGCTGAAATCCAAAATCACGCCTCATAAATGAAATCTCACGGCCGGGAGATGTACCGTGAGATTGTTTTCATAAAAAGGGGGAGTTCCAGAGAGTTTCACGAGTTGGCGTCGTCATTACCACGGCCGTGAGATAAGCCGTGTTTTGGATATGAATTCTGGACATCTCACGGCCCTCTGTAAATTCTCACGGGGCGTGAGACTAAGACGTGAGATTAACCCTAGAATTGGAAACACCCTATTTAAAGCTTCCTCTTTTCTACTTGAACCCGACCCCCAACCCTATTTAAAACCCTCGCCGTCGCACTTCGACCCCCAACCCTCTACCCAGTTCGAACAAGCTCTCTCCCAGTCCCTTGCCCCCAAATCCTCCCTGCTCCGACTCCGTTTCGCCGGCCGCCATGATCAAACTTTCCAAGTTCGATACAATCCTTGGACAAGGAATGCAGCAAAGAGATGGAGATTGCAAAACCCTTGACCAAGGTTGTATCTAGCTTGGAAAGTTGGATCTTTCCGGTATCACCCCAGCTCCAAGGGGAGTTACAAAAGTGGAGATTGAACAGGGTAGGCTTTATCTTGCTAAGCTTTGCAGTGCTAGTGGCGCACTCTGCTCCTCAAAATGCTCTCGTGAGTCAGCTTCCCGGCTACTCTGGCTCTTTCCCTTCCAAGCACTACTCCGGGTATGTTCTCCTTCCACAAGTGGTTTTTGCTAGTCTCAGTTGGTTTTATGTTCTCTGTACTGGGTTTCTTACGCCCTGTTCACTTTCATTTTCGTTTCCTGTTTTCTGTTTTCATGTCATAAATTTGACAACAGAAACGAGAAACTTGTTTACTTTTCATTCGGTTTTCTATTCGTTTCCAACTATGAAAACAGAAAGTGGCAACTTCCTGCTGTTTTCGGAAACGAAAAAATGTTGTTTTCACCTGTTTTCAACATCTGTTTTCTCAAAAACAGGAAACAGAAATGAAAGTAAACAGGCCCTTAGGTCCCTGGAATTCTGGAAATGGGGTGCTTAGAAATGGGGTTATGCTGTTTGTGTTCTTGTTCGATTGGGAGTAATGGGCTTTCTCTGTTTTTGGTCTTTTCTGGGTTTGGCTTTTGAAAGGTATGTGACGATCAATGAAGCGACAGGGAAGAAATTGTTCTACTATTTGGTCGAATCGGAAGGGAACCCATCAAAGGATCCTCTGGTTCTTTGGCTCAATGGTGGCCCTGGATGCTCCAGCTTCAATGGGTTTGTGTATGAACATGGTATGGTTAATCCCAATTGGACATGAGTGATTGTTTAAGACATTTAGTGCAGCTTGATTATAGTTGAAACATTGATCTGTCAGAACTCAGAAGTAATTGTCACAAGACTTTTTGTTTCTGTTCTTTGTTTCTAAAACGAGAATGGGACTGAAGATTGCTTGTTAAATTGACTGTATAATGCAGTGTCTGATTTTGGCTCAAAATGAAGAGCTTACTGTAACATCATCAAAAGGGTTCAATTTGTAACCTAAGTGAGCATTGACAGGGTTCTGACTGATCATGATGGTGTAGACGTGATTGAAATGCTCCAGGGATCATCTACCTTTACGTCACATTGAGTATTCCACCTCATCGATCTCTAAGGAAGGAAGCAAGGACAACAAACTTTCCAAGCTCGATACAATCCTTGGACAAGGAATGCAGCAAAGAGATGGAGATTGAAATATAGAGAGTGATTGAAATACAGAGAGATCGAAATACATAGAGAGAAGTTTTGAGTGGGAGGGATGCAAAACCCTTGACCAAGGTTGCATCTAGCTTGGAAAGTTTGATCTTTCCGGTATCACCCCAGCTCCAAGGGGAGTTACAAAAGTGGAGATCGAAGAGGATGGAATACTCAAAGAGACGTCAAGGGAGAAGTCCGTAAGTCGTTCTTAATTTTTCTACTGGATTATCTTGGTTTGGTGATAGCCTAGAATTTGACTGATTGTTGCGTTTGTGTGATTTGTTCTTTGAATTTGACAAAAGTTTGTTCTTGTTTTTGTGATGTTGTGGTGTGCTTGTAAGCAAGAAGGTAGTATGTATTGAAGAAGTAGAGTTTTTGTATATCTAACTATTGTTGTGTTTAAGAAGAGGGAAGTGCAGGGGAGAAGAAGAAAAGGAAGTGGATCCTCGTGGGTGAGAAGAAGATGATCAATCTGGTTTCCCTCTTGGTGGAGAAGGGAAGGAGAAGAAGAAATGATAGAAGCACGTTTAGAGGAGGGAAGGAAGTATCAGGAAGAAGTCTTTGTTTTGAGGGAGCATAGGAATCTGGAAGAGGAAGAAGAAGAATTTCCCCTGTCTCTCCCCATCTCTGTTTTTTTTTGCAGAAATTCATCTGTGTAAAGAAGAAGAGAGGAAGAAGGAGCTCTCCTTTCCTCTGCTTTTTTCGTTTGGATGAAGTAGGAGAGGCGATGTTGTGGAAGAACAAGGGAAATGGATAGGCCTCCTTCCCATGAATTTGTGTTATATATGTATGTTCAATTTCTTTTCTACAAATCAATTGCAATGTACTCCATAACTCTAATGATCAAATATTGATCTTCTCTTCGATTGTGGGTGGCTAGATGGATATATCTAGTTATTGTTGTTTTTTGTTCTTAGATGGAAACCTCACTGCTTGTAATTAAATTGTCACGGGCGAGAGAATAGGCCATGATATGGAAATCACTCCCAATTTCACGGCCGTGCGAGAAACCGTGAGATGGAAATATCACGGCCGGGATAAGGAGACGTGAGATGGAAATATCACTCCCAATTTCACGGCCGTGCGAGAGACCGTGAGATGGAAATATCACGGCCGGGATAAGGAGACGTGAGATGGAATATCACTCCCAATTTCACGGCCGTGCCAGAGACCGTGAGATGGAAATATCACGGCCGGGATAAGGAGACGTGAGATGGAAATATCACTCCCAATTCACGGCCGTGAGACTAAGACGTGAGATGTTCACAGCTGAAATCCAAAAACACGCCTCATAACTGGAATCTCACGGCCGGGAGATGTACCGTGAGATTGTTTCCATAAAAAGGGGGAGTTCCAGAGAGTTTCACGGGTAGGCGTCGATATTATCACGTCCGTGAAATGGGCCGTGAGATTGGAAGTTTAAAAACTAACCTATGCATATTAGAATTTGAAACCCCCCCGCCCCCATATTTTGTTCGAACCCTATTTTCCTCTGTTCTACTTCGACCCCCAACCCTCTACTCCCTCTGTTCTACTTCGACCCCCTCGCCCTCGCCATTGCTCGTTCGCCCTCGCACTTGCTGGCTCGCCCTCGCCCTTGCTCGCTCGCCCTCGCCCTTGCTGCCTCGCCCTCGCCCTCGCCCTCGCCCTCGCTCGCCCGCGAAGATTCTTCAAGGTTCAGCGGCGACGGCGACCATTTCCGGACGAGTCTCTGCCCTCTGTTCCACTTCGATCCCGACAAGGCCTCTGGTGAGTTCTTCTTAACCACAGCGGCACTCTTCTCTGGTTTCTTGCATTTTTTAGGGTTTAGTTGCCCAATTGTGGTTGGTTTGAATTAGGGTTTTGAATGGTTTCATGTTGTCCATTAAGACAAGAGGGGAAGAATTGAAATCATGTTTTGGTTGTTGTTATTATAATTTGAATGTTGTGATGGAATCCTGGGAGAGAGCTATGCACTTATGGGTTAGTGCACTTGCTCTTCTTGCCCATCTACTACTTCTGGTGTCTTGCCTCTTTTGAGGTGCTTTGTTAATATGGGGTACTAGAAGGAAACTATGGCCAGTCCGAGTTGCCCTTCTGCCCCGAGTGTTGTTCCACCTGTGGTTCTTAAAGAAGGTAACCATAGCTGGTTTTATAGTTGCATATCTTCCCCATCTATCATTTTTTTATGTGCTCTATAAGATGAGGTACATGCCAATGATCCTAGGAAGTTATTAAATGTGCTTAGTTGGTTTTTGTAGGAATGGGGAAAGCTAAACCAAAAACCCGGCAACCAGCAGCCTCACCTGCTAAAAGGAAGGCTCCTTCTTCTCGTCGCCGGCAAACCCAAGAACGAGACACTCCCCCCAAACGACAACGCAAAAACAACCAAGGACGGGCACGCCAACCATCTCCACCACCACCACAAGCGGAGGCTCAACTTGGAGGAGGGAGACTTCACGGCTTCCTCCAATTACCCGTCGAACATAGGAAGGCTTTGGAGCGCTTCCTTCCCCTCCCATTTGGGCAGCAAAGATGCTTTGATTGGGATCTCCTAGAGCGCCTCGGAGCAGCGGACCCCGTTCGCACATGCCTCCGTCTCCCGGCATGGTGTGAGGTTCTCTCCATCAATGAGGTCATCTACCGAGAGCTTACCATTGAGTTCCTCAGCACTCTCTCCATCAAGAGAATGTCCGAGTTTAGCCTCGACAAGCCCGAAGACAACATAACTTTTCGCCTTGGAGGACAGGCGAGACAGATGAGCATCACTGAGTTCACAGAGGCACTCCAGATATACCCACCAGGATTTCTCACCACAGGTGGACATGGTTTTATTTCGGAGCAAATATATCATTCAAGAGCACAATCGGTCAATGATATGTGGAAAACGGTAAAACAAAAACATGTGGACAAGTCTGACCCTGCCCACTATAAAGGGAATGATCTTCTTCCCCCGTGGCGTATCATCCACAACATTATCGCTCATTCTGTGGCAGCTAGGGATGGGAGCCCGGGGAGTGTGACCAAGCGGGATTTGAACTTTTTCCTCTCTATGGTAAAAGATCCCCCAATTCATCTTGGTATAGTCATATTGAAAACCCTACAGAAGATGACCTCCAACAAACAAATCAAGACCATCCATGGAGGTGCCTACATCACAAGGCTAGCTCGGCATTTTGGCATTGATCCGGTGGGTTCTCATTGCACCATTGCCCAGTCCACTCAACCAATCTCCCAAAAAAACCTTGCGGATCTAAATTTGTTGTCAAAGGTAAATGTTCCAACCAACACTTTCTTTTTCACAGTGAATGCTAAAACATAACTAGTCGGGATTCAAACAATCTAGGATTGATTTTGTGCAAGTTTTGGATTGCCTACTAATCTAGTTCCTTTTGAACATTGAGCAAATGTAACTAATGCTTCTGATATTGATCATGTCTGTGTTTGGTGGTTAAGGAGAATGGTGTGGTAGGCATTGTTGGCCTCCCTCATCCTGCTCGACCTCTTGCAACAGATGAGGCAAACGCATCGGAGCATGTTGTTCAGCAAATGGTCGAGGAGACTCCGGAACAACCTGCACAACATCACCAAACTACGACTCAAGCCGGACCATCCACCGACAGCTACATATCCCATTTTGAGGCATTGGGTCGGCAGAATGCCCAAATTCTGGAGCAAAATGCACTCATTCTCTCCCGCCTCGATCGAGAGAAGGAAGCTCGACGCTACATCATCGAATGCAACCATCAGATCATGAGGTCCTTGAGGATTGACTACGAACAATTCTCAAGACCTTGGGAACTATCTCCTAGGCCAACCGAGGAGATCAATGAAGAGGGAAGTGAAGAGGATGACGAGGGTAATGACGATGAGCAAAACAAGGAAAAAAATCAAGAGGACATAGGAGAGGAACAAAACAAGGAAAGCAGTGAAGAGGACAATGACACCAATGAGGAAGACAGCAGTGAAGAGGACGACGACGAGGGCAATGGCGATGACCAAAACAAGGAAAAAAATCAAGAGGTCAAAGGGAACGATGAGGAAGACAGCAGTGAAGAGGACGACGACGAGGGCAATGGCGATGACCAAAACAAGGAAAAAAATCAAGAGGAGAAAGGAGAGGAACAAAACAAGGAAAGCATTGAAGAGGTCAAAGGGACCGATGAGGAAGACAGCAGTGAAGAGGACGACGACGAGGACAATGGCGATGACCAAAACAAGGAAAAAAATCAAGAGGAGAAAGGAGAGGAACAAAACAAGGAAAGCAGTGAAGAGGACAGTGACACCAATGAGGAAGACAGCAGTGAAGAGGACGACGACGAGGGCAATGGCGATGACCAAAACAAGGAAAAAAATCAAGAGGAGAAAGGAGAGGAACAAAACAAGGAAAGCATTGAAGAGGACAAAGGGACTGATGAGGAAGACAGCAGTGAAGAGGACGACGACGAGGGCAATGGCGATGACCAAAACAAGGAAAAAAATCAAGAGGAGAAAGGAGAGGAAAAAAACAAGGAAAGCATTGAAGAGGACAAAGGGACCAATGAGGAAGACAGCAGTGAAGAGGACGACGAGGGCAATGGCGATGACCAAAACAAGGAAAAAAATCAAGAGGTCAAAGGGACCAATGAGGAAGACAGCAGTGACTCTAGCGAGGACAATGAAGATGAGCAAATCCAGGAAAACAAAGACGAGGACGAGAACACTAACGAGAAAGATGGGCAGTGAAGATGAGCCAACCAAAGTCCTTAGTACTTAGCTATGTGTGTTTGCTTTTGTGCTTGTATGTTTTCCAATTAGAATATTATGATGCACCAGTGTGGGCTACATGCATCTAAACTTAAGCATTAATCGTGTTATGGATGTTTGTTTTATAAGACAAATGTAAAGCTTTGACTGCTTTTTACTTTTTGTTAACAGGGTATCTCATCTGATATGATGTACAGTTACTAGAGAAGGATCTATGTAATGCTCGTGTCAAGCTTCAAAGAACATTATGACTCATCTTTTCATAAGCTTGTAGTTTTCAAAAACAGTATATTATGTTACTTACACCATTATAATAAGTACAAGGGTTAGTTGTACAGGTGCATGTCTGTGCAGACTATTTCTGGAAATCTCACGGCCAATTCTGGAAATCCCACGGCCGTGAAAGAAGACGTGGTTTTGGATATGTAATTCTGGAAATATCACGGCCGTGAGATAGGCCGTGGATGTAAAAACGCACGTCTCAGTTTCCCAGAGGGTTTCACGGGTTGCCTTCAACATTATCACGGCCGTGAGATGAGCCGTGTTTTGGATTTGAATGATGTACTTCTCACGGCTCATCTGTTTATTCTCACGGGCGTGAGAATAAGTCGTGTGATTGTCTGGAGATTGAAAACTACTCTTTGATTGTCACGGGTCATGTCACGCCCGTGAGATGAGCCGTGTTTCCTAAAAATTGTACCTACACTTTCTAGAGTTGTACCTTTACACTAAATTTAAAGTTGTACCTACACTTTCCTAAAAATCTTCTATGGTACAATTAAAAATTGTACCTATACACTATAGTACAACTTAATGTTGTACCTACACTTTCAAACAAATCCTTCTATGGTACAA